CATACATACTCATTCACAAAAATAATATATTTTATTTATCCTAGATTCTTTCCTGAAGTATACACTCTTTTGATAATTTTTTGAATTTTCCAATATTTTCAGTTTTTTATGTGATCAGGCAATTTATTGAAAGTAGAAAGAGAATCATGTTTAAATGGTTTTTTGCTCATTATAGAGCTTGTAGCATTGATATGAAACAGATTATGTTGCGTTGTATCATGATCATTAATTTCTGATTTTTTTATCGAAATGAGGTTAGATTAAATTTTTTTATTGATCACTAAATAAGCAATTTTGGGTATATTATAAAATGTTCTTCTAAAGAAAATGTGTCTGTTATTGAATACAATCGGCTAGTTAGAATGTCTTATGTATATATTTCTGTTTGGTATATTCGAATCTACAATATTTGATGTCAGTTTGGGGAACAGCTAATTTATTAGTGATAAATTCTCTCAGGAGACTGCACAATAAAATAATAAAATGTATATTCCTATTATCATATCTTGAATATACATCAAATTTATATATTTCACATGATCTTGAGTATTCAATCCATTTTTCAATTGAAACTTTGTTGTTTCATTCATTTTGTTGTAAAATATCACAAACATTTTAATTTCAATAAAATAAATAGGTATCACATTTTTTTGTTTTTGATTGCTATTATAATTCAATTGTGTATATATGTATGTACGTATATATGTGATGTACACTCAATTGATGAATAAGTATTTGAATATTTCATTTAATTACTATTTGAAATTTTATCCCTGTTATAAACAATCTTATTTCTCGGGATTAATAGAGATCATAATTATTATTATAGTTTGTAAACCAATTCACTCTTAAATTGATTAAAAAAAAACCTTCAATAGTCACATGTAGAAATTGAAAATTTTATTAACTACTCGACTCGTAATCATCAAATGTAACAATTATGTTTTGTCATTATTCGTTTACTAGAGCAATGACAAGGTAAGAATAACCAAAATATAATTTTTTTCCCTTTTTTGTTGATTTTAGCTCATCTTCAGTAATGCTCATTTTTTGTTTCCAAGTTTCATTAATTTTTTTTAATAGTTATAAATTCCTTCAGAATAGTTTAGACATCAATGTGCCAAAATACATCAAAATTTGAAGTAGTTTTTTTCTTGCCAGATAGATTTATAACCTCTGGTGTAAAATGAATTTAATGACAATATTTTTCCCACTCTAGAACTAAGAGTTTTGGTATAGGAAAAGTGTGTTTTTAAGAGTTTTTCACTGATTCAAAAAAATGTGCTTTTTATATGACCATGAGATATTTTCAAATTACATAGAAATTTATTTATGAGATTGGCATAAAACTCAAACCACAAATATCAAAGATAAATGAGGGTCTAAACAACAGCTTGTTTCAAAGCTAAGCGGATAAGAATTCTATAGCTTTTACTGCAAATTGGCAATTAGACGATACCAGAGCCCACCAAAGTTACATACATTATCTAATATCAAACATTGTTCATGATTTAATGTCTCATCTAAAAAAATCGTAATTGGAACCTCCAACACTAAAAACTCCTGTTAATTCTCTTTTGTCACGTAAATGTACAATTAACATTATCTAAATTCACAGTCTCTGGAACGATTCTCTTAATTCATTAGAATTAGAAAGCCACAACATTTCTTTCACAAAAATGAATCTCTCCTAAAATATACATACCACTTTCAATCCATATTCTGCTTTCACTCTTGTTGTTTCTTTAAACTGAAAAGTCTTGGAAATGTTTAACATAACTACATGTTTTGGAATTAATCCACTCTTTTTAATATTGGAAATAATGTAACTTTATTTTTTCAAGCCTCTGATAGTTCGAACAAAAGAAATTTTGGAAGATGGTTCAGATGTTTATATAGTACTTGAATATATGAAAGGAGGAGAATTGAGCACAAGAATCAGTTGTGGGCCAACATTTTCAGAATCTACTGCTAAATTCTTTTTTTATCAAATGGTTCTAGCAGTGCAATATCTACATTCTGTTGGAATAACTCATAGAGATCTCAAGGTATATTTGATTATGGATATTTATTTTTACAGTATGTCAAATATTAGAATGTTCTTTGAAAATATCGTTTTACTATTTGAAACCTTGAAAGAAAGGTCTCCATCTTAATTTTCTTTCAAAGAATATGGGAATGCTCATTCATTCAACATTGTAATGATGCATCTCAGTCCTTTTAAGCCTAGGTTATGATTTGTTCAAAAGGAATATCTTGGCTTGGGTATTTTTATAATCAATATCAAATATTAATTGATATTTGAAGAGGTTAAATCACAAATGGGACATAATATGAATAAATTTAATGTTACACTTCAGTTTATCCAATCTCATTTGAACCCTAATTTTAAATTCTCTCTCTTATCCTCTTTCTATATTCATAAAAAAATGTAAGAAAGCTTCACTTACCATTTGATTACAATTACATAAGGTATACAATTGTACAAATGCCTTGTTGATTTAGACATCACAAAACAAGCTATATTTCCCTAGCGTGAGTATTTCAGTGAGTCATTTAAAAAAAAACTCATACAACTATCCAATATCCATTATTTTATTTATTTCCACATCATTGATTGTTTTTGATATTGATGTTTGTATGTAAAATGGTTTTGAAAAATATATTCAAAAATATTCAATATATTGAATTTATAATGTAATACATTTTTTAGCCTGGAAATATCCTTCTTTCAACGACAGACACCAAAACACTTTTGAAAATTACCGACTTTGGTTTGAGTTTTCTGCTGATGGGCTATGAAGAAGTGATGAAAACCGTGTGCGGTACATTATTCTACATAGCCCCAGAAATTTTGAATCCTACCATTAAGGAATACAATAGTCAGGTGGATATTTGGAGTTTGGGAGTGATTTTGTTTTATATGCTTTCCAAACAACTACCATTTCAGTAAGTAGAAACCTGGAATATATTTTAAGTTTAAAACATATTGATTGAATTTTATGCCCATGGCAAAACTAATAAAGTGAGAAAGCAAATGAATTCGCATCTGAAACTATGTGTATTCATGTACTATACTGTGTATTATATTGTTTTTAGCATAGTATAAGACTTGCCATTTGTACTATGTACTTTATTCATGGTGAATTGAATACTCCTACTATAGATCAAACTTTCTAAATTGAACAAGTTCGTATTTTTTTTTTAGAAGTTTATGATTGATTTCAGGTCAAATGATAGAGCTAGTCTAGTTAGGCTTATAATTAATGGAAAGTATAGCATGAAAGAACCCATCTGGTATGAAATATCATTTCAAGCTAAAGACTTGATTGCAAAAATGCTGAAAGTCAATCCAAAGGAGAGAATCAACATCCACGACATTTTAAGTCATTCATGGATTGAGAAGGTAATATATTTTCTAATGTTAAAAATTTTTGCATTTAGAACCGATCTAAAAAATAGCCAATTTATTTTTGGAAAAATGTGTACAGTTAGTAAATAGAATTTTCTACATTTTTTTCATTATTATTGTCAACCATCAGAAAAAATAAAAACTTATTAGAAAATTCTTATAATAATTTGATTTAAGAATTTATTAATGAGATTTATTAATAGAAAGTTCTAATAATCGAACAATTCTATTTACACATGTAACTTACATATCACTACGATTTACTTACTACTTGTTGGGCAACAAGATCACATTATCTTGAAAAATCAATTGTTTTTTGCCAGCGTTTTGAAATTAATGAAATTCTTCTTCAGGGCCCAAAAAGGAGTTTTCCATTTTAAAACTATAAATTTAAGAAACATCAGACGTGTTAGATACATATCAAAAAGAGAACACTGTAATAAATAAAATATTCAAGACCAGCATTAAACTGTGACATAAAAAAAACGTGACATGATTCATGACGACATGAAACGTGATATATGTTTTAAAAATCAACATTAGATATGTCAAAAAGCCAAAAACACATCAACAATAGTCAGTTTTGAATGTAAGAGTTAAAACATATGAAAATGAATACATATGTAAAGCTATACACATAATACATGCAACATACGAGTACATAAAGGGACAACTAATCTCGCTTTTAGATATAACCCTCTAAAGGTATAAAATGCTCCTTGGATTGAGTATTTTTTCAATTTTTTATAGAAGTTTGCAGATTTGTCTCGTATTTAATGTTTTCAGGTAACNATTACTTTGAAAACCTTTTCTGTATGGATGAGAAAAATCGCAATAGCTGCATCAAGTTATGCTGACTTCAGTAGTTACCATTTCTCCGAAAGAAAAATGAACGAAAATGAGAAATTCCACTCCAGGAAAAATGCTAATATATTTTTGACCAAAAAATATGAGAAATGTCCCAAATGTCAAAAAAATCATAATTTGACGAACTGCCAAATTTTCAAAAAACTAGATATCGACGAAAAATGGAAAATTGTTTTTACTGTTTGAAACCAGGTCATAATATCTACTCATGTAGATTGAAACAAAAGTGTGGAATTGAAAATTGCCCAAAATTCCACAACAACATATTACATAACCTTGATTTTACAAAAAAGGAAAGCGAAGTCTTAAGTTATTGTTCAAACCCAAATGAAGATGTCGGACCGGAAAGTCAAGTTGAAAAAATATATTTTTTCCAACGAGATAACCCCACAATCCTTCTTCGAATAATTCCGGTGAAACTTCGAGGACCTAAAAAAGAAATTTCTACCTTTGCTCTACTAGACAAGGCAGCTACGACAACAATGATAGACAGCAAAATTGACCATGAATTAGGACTGGATGGACCGGTTGTCACTCTGCTACCAGTGGCTTAACAATGTTACTAAAAATGAAGAAAACTCCAAAAGAGTGACAGTAGAGGTATCTTCAATGGAAGAGAACTCAAAAACATACAAAATGAATGGAGTTCGAACTGTAAGTGGAATCTCACTTCCAAGACAAACTATTGATGTCGAATACCTGAGTAGAATCTATCCATATATCAAAGAAGCACCTGTACTTTCATTTTATGATGCACAACCAACAATTCTTATTGGTCAGGATCAATGTGCTTTGACTATAGCAAGGAAAATAAATATCAAAGTTACTGAAATGTACCGTTTGTATCAAAAACATTACTGGTATGAGTAGTACATGGCAGATACCCCCAAGGAGAAGTTGCTGATAAATCGTCTTTAATATTTCACGTTTGTTGTAAATCTCAAGAACAAATTGATGATGATATTCACGATCTAGTGACATACTCGTTCAAAATTGACAATTTTCGCATAAGAAGCTCGGAAGAAAATGAAAGGTCTAAAGAAGATGATAGGGCGTTGAAAAAAATGGAAAATACCATTAATCGAATATTACTGGATTTTTTCCCCAACACCAAATCGTTATTTTCAACACCTCGACACGTGTTTCGATCACCAAGTGATCATCTTCAAAGAGGAAGAAGAAAAAACAGTTTCAATCTTCCTCTATGAAGATGATCACTTGGTGATCGAAACACATGTCGAGGTGTTGAAAATAACGATTTGGTGTTGGGAAAAAACTCCAGTAATATTCATTACTACACCAAAGGTTCCAAACAGTGCATCATAAGTACCAATAATCGAGTTGGAAATCACTTGGAAATAGATAGGTCTACTGTGGAAGAATGATGATGACCGATCTTCTAGAGAGCTGGAGATGAAAAAGAATAAGGAAAAGAAGAAACGTGACAGTAGTGAGAAGAAGGTAGCAAAAAAAAGACATCAGAGCTCCGACTTTGAAGAAGAGAAGAGAGTGAAGAAGAAGCGCAGGTCAGTCAGTTCAGAAAAAGGAAAAAAGTCAAAGAAGGATTCTAGTGACAGTGACGTTCCCGCTAAGAAAAAGAAGAAACAAGACGGTTCTGATGAAACTGATAGAGAAAAATAAAAAAAAACATAAGAAGGACAATAGCTCTTCGGATAACGATGAAGATGTTTCAAAAAAGAAGAGGCACAAAAAAAGGCAAAGGGGATACAAAGAAAAGGAAAAAAGATAAAAAGCATAAGAAGAAGAAGAAACACTCGAAGAAACATAAAAAACACAAAAAACAAAATCAGGAACCTATAAACGGCCAGTTACAAAGATCTGTAAATTAATGAGTGGTACAGGTTCTTAACGAAAATGAATTGAAGACTATGTCAAATGCAGTGATTTCATCACGAGGGGGAGAATGTTGTTGCTTTTAATTAGTTTTGTTCACTTTTGTTCACTTTGTATGCTAAAATAATTGATCATGATTTGTTTATAAAAAAAGATTTGACATTGACAATAATTTGAAAGATATAAAATAAAGATATTGACTTGAAACGTTTGATTCCTGGTTTATTTCGACTTTGAATCAAAAGAAATCACAGTAGGACTGACTAGTCCGAACACTATTTGTGCTACTAACTGTTTTTGTTCAGTTTACCAATATTGAAAAATGTATGTCAGTAATTAACATAAATATATACATATACATAAATACATAAATGTTGCAAGTCCGTGCTGGAAATGAACGAGCAAAAATCAATGGCCCTACGATACCACCAATTTTTTTTAAGATATCTTTTTTGTTTTTTACAATATCAATTTAAAAAAGTTTTTATACACAAGGTGCCAACTTGGTTGGTGAAACGCTTGTCAAAAAGAGTATTGCAGTTCAGGTTATTGGGAAAAGTGCCTATTTTAGGTTGAATCTGAAGTTGAACCGAGAAGTAAATCTTTGGTTGCCGCTAGCCAGATTTGAATAAATGACTTATGAGGTGCTTGACTATCAAACATCTTGCCCTACCTAGCTCATCGAGTTTTACTCATGAAATCACTATCATATTGATGGAGATGCCAGGCCTTGGTACTAGGAGTCACATGTTAAAAATTGAGACTTCGTTAATCCTTACCTCGCACAAGTTTCGTCTTGTGTGATGCTGTTCGTAACAGGTCACATTTGGTTGACGAAAAAACTCATTTAGAGCACTTTTTGAACACACGTTAGAATATACAGTTGAAGATAGGAAAATCAATAGATTCTTTGTAAAACATTCAGAATCGCTTTTTTAACAAAGCAATTCTTCTGAAATTCGTAAAAAAAATTGAATGTGAGCTTAAATGAATGAATCATTACCTATGTTTGAAAAAATGTAAAAAGTATTGAAATTTCCAGGAAAGTCTGAAGAAAAAAGAAAGAAAGAAAGAAATTTTCTTGATGCTTTACACTCATCATGTTTACACAAGGAAAATATCAATTTGTGATGGATATGCGAACAGGTTTTTAGCTAACACATTAATCGATTTTTAGTTATTCAGGCGATAAGTTGGGGCCACTATATATGTATCGTATATCTTTGTATGTTGCTTGCAGCATTGTTTCTAGAAGCAAATCGTGTCACCTTGCATTGAGTCGTAAACATGTACAGTATTAAGTTACTGACCATTGGCTCATATGGATTAGATATCGAAAATGTCTATTTATTTCAATATTGTTGTTTCGGATGTGCGTTTTTGTTTGTTTTCATGTTTTTGTTTGATTGCAGGATCACCTCTTGCGTTATACGGTAGAGAATATGCTGAAAAAAGAAGTTGAAAGGAATCAGCAAACTTCTATGACCAATTGATTTCAGCTGTTGAATGTGATTTGGTAAAACTGTGATATTGATGTTCCTACAACGGTGAGTGCTATAAATTGTAAATAATACAAGAAAAGCTTGGCGAATAAATCAGCCACAAGTTCAAAATTAATAATTAGTTGTTAATTGTGAGAAACAAAAGCTTTATGTTCAGACTATTATTGAGTAAGAGGTTCATTTCCTTTAGAGTAACTATCTTTTATAAATAACTTGAAAAAAAAAATTATTCCAATGACTTATTGTTGTTGAAACTTCCTACACAATAAAAAGTTGGAAGAGTTATTTGATGGATCCAGTTTTTTCTTCTATTTTCGGATTTTGAATATTTTCTGACTAGTTGGTCTCCTCTGAGAACTAATATTCTGTGTGGAATCATTTAGTAAATATTATTAGGGTAATGTTTCTACAACTAGGAAATAAAATTAGGGAAATGTTTTAACTTAGTTTTCCTGGCTATTTCAACACTTTTTCAATGATAAGTTTTTTAATAATATTCTTTAAACTCTTCCAGAGCCTTTCCCTATTCAGTACTTATAACTGAGTAGTTGAAGTTTTATATTTTTTGTCAGTGTTTGGGTTTTTGTCAGTATGATAGAAATATTAATCTTCCTGTTAGTAGATTATTCAAAATATCAACTTCGTCTTTGCAAGAAACACTCTGTTTCATGGACAATAACATTCAAATTGAGAATGTGAGGTTACACCTACCCCAAATGGTAGATTCAAAATTCAATGATGTTGATGTTAGTTTCAGAGCTGGCCGTTACTTCACATCATGTTCGGGTCTATAGTTTTGTAGAGGCAGTGTAGAAGGTCATATCTTTGTAGTATTTAGGTATGAAATTCGTCTGTGTTATTTCCAGTGTACTACTCAGTTTTCTAAACAAATTAAATCTCTATGAACTATGTGTTGGATAATATATATTCTCTGTCAAAGAATCATTTGAATGATTTATCTCATTGTCAAATATCTTACAATGTTTCGATTTTACTATTTATATTTCAAAGTTTTCTAGGGTGCATCATTTTTTTGTTGATTTCATGGTGAAGTAGGTATTTTTACATCCAAAACAGTATTTTTCCATAACAGGATATCATTCAAATCAACATTTATATTTTTTAAATTTTAAGTTATGGATTCAAATTCCCAATTCATGATTTGAATTGATATATGTTTTTGTTATGAATGAATTTTTTCCTGTTTTGACTTGTCAATTGTCTTTTCAACCACTTTCAAATATATTTTATTTTTCATATAAGTACATTTGGAATTCTTCAAAATTTTTACCATATAAAAATTGTAGCTAAGATTTTAATTTCTTGATTTTAATTATATAAAACTACACTTTCGAGATATTTGATATTTTCAAACAAACATTGTACAGAAGTACAACTGTAGTTTTTATCATATTAAGTTTATACATTATTTATGAAATATTTTTAAGTATAATTTATTTTAGAGATAGACTGATTTGGCCAGGGCCCATGGCATTTTTAGTTTACTTTGTATTTCTAATATTTAAATTTAATAGTTTAGACGGCACTGCTTTGAAACAGTAGTGTTATTGTTGAAATAAAGCAATGACTTGAAAGTATGATTTTTTCTGTTGAATCCCAATCTGAATACTAAACAATAACAAACAGGAATACCTGAGTAACAATCATTGTGTTGCCTCTCTACGAACGACAACTCTCAGAAGTCGAAACTTATGCGAGCTAAGGATTAACGAGGTATTACCTTTTAACGTGCGATCCCTAACACGGGTTAGACGATAGGCAGTAAAAATTGATTTCTGGCCTCACGGGTTGAACCACCAGTATATACAGTGGCTGATTGAGTGAGTGGAGCAAACAACCCACGCCAACCCAACCTACTACCGTCCCAACCCTAGTGCAGTCGTTCAAAACCTCACATTATCCCCGTGTGAATGAGCTACACAATTACAGGTAGTCCAAGAAAGCATTATTAAAGTAATTTAAGGCAAGATAGGATATTTCTTTCCAAAATCCATAATAATAAAGTTTAGATTTTTCTTTGGGGGTCAAATTTTAGTTGATAATAAGGGATTCTCTAAACTCATGATGTTCTTAGATTACTCTATATTTTCCACGAATGTGACATCTAAAACTTTGCTGTTGAAACACATGTCGAGAAGTCATTTAGTTAGAACTGGTGTTTAGGAGCAGTGCTCGTTTTGGAAGAATAAAAACTCAAAGTCGTCTCCACAATTTAATGTCCCATTAGATGTTAGAGCGGTTAAACCATCAATCAGTACATGTTTCGAACCTATATATCATCAGCTAATATTTAGAATTCTACAATTTATTGTGGAATTTTAAACATTACCTGATGATGAACCTATATAGGTTCGAAACATGTACTGATTGATGGTTCTACTGCTCTAACATCTGATGGTGACATTGAATTGTGGAGACGACTTTGAGTTTTTATTCTTCGCAAATCTACTGCCCTCCACTTTGAGATATAATAATATACTTCTACCAGAGGTTAGTGCTCGTTTTGTATGATTGATTCTGGTAATATGTTATCATCTCAAACCATTCTTTTTGGATTTATTTCTTATAGGACAACAATTTAGATCAACAACAAATAAATCCATCATCTGTTGAAATCTGTTTTTCCGTTATTTGATTATTAGGTGTCAAGGTATGGTTCACATTGAGACTGGACATAAAAATTGCTGAAAAAAATATGATGGAGGATAAAATTGACTGCGACATGTTGAAATTTTTTATTTTACAATTTTATGTAATTCCAAACACTTCTCCTTGTTTTCGGTATTTTTATTACTATACAAAATAAGTATGAATTTACAAGTGAAAACATTGTTTTCCAGAATGCAAAAAAACAGTGGAAATGACTATTCAAAATATAATTTTTAATACTGCACAAATAGTTGATAAACAAATGCAATTTCATTGCAATAAAAGGAAGCCTTTTTTTTTACGGCTCATAAAACTATAAACATTTGGGAGGTTAATTTTTCAAGTACATTTTTTGCTCAAATTGTAAAATACTCAGGGTGAAATTATGACCTGAATGACAACTCAATTGTAATTTTGGTTTCTTTTATGAAATGTTATCAGATTCTGTTGAAGGTTATGACAAACAAAAAAAAATCAGTTGGATTGCAATTCTTGTATCCAGAAAGTAATAAGCTGTGAATAAAATTTGAATTCAGTTCCAGACATGGTAATTAGCACTACATTCTATAGTTTACTTTTGAAATTAGAAGTGCTTACTGAATGGAAAGAGATTATTATGTTCCAATACTTGATTTTTTAAAATAAATTTTTATTAAGGGAATTTATGTAATATTACCTGGATATTAAAAAACATAGAATATGTAAATTTTCTATTATTAGTTACATATCGATTTTTTCCTTGATTTCTTTACATATTTCACGAATAATTTATTTCTTTTTCTCATTTTTTCAATTACTGATTGGTTAACAATTTATTGTACGAAGGTACATGTAAATTTATATTTTGAATGTAATGAAACATTTATGAATAGTTTAAAAGTTTATTCTTTGAGTAGTGACCAAACATTTCCATTTTGTAATTTGAAAAAAAAATTACCTGTATGGTTCCATAATCATATTCAATTTGCATAGGAAATAACTGATTATGTATTCTGGGGGCATCTACAGATTCTTTAAGGTTATCTCCAAACCATAGGTTTCTCATTATAACCTAGAAATTATAACTTGTTATTCACAAAGTAATGTGTCAGAACTCATCAAATTCGAGTCTTTGAATGATGTCCTCAATGATAAATTCTACCTACGATAATATCATTGGGAGAGCATTTCTGTTATGATGGCTTATAGATGTTTATGTAACGATTGGATTGAATGTTGTGAAATTTTGAGGATCAAGTGAATTATGGAATTATAGGCGAAGAAGAGTAATTATTTTTTTCTATAATTATCGAAAAGCCGTCAATTGTTGTTTTTCCAAAACAAGCATTTTTCTCAATTAACAGAACTGCAGTACTCTTCTCGACGCGCATTTCAACGACCGAATTGGCGTCTTCAAGAGATGAAGAAAACAAATTTTTTTGGTTTACTTGGACCTGGATTTGGTAAATTGCCAGTAACGTTCGTTGACCCTTTTCTCCCTGCCTTTTCTACTTGCCTTTTTTACCTAAGCCAGGCCAGGTATTAGTACAGTAAACTATCTAAGAAATTAACATAAATACTCGTTACGCAGCTGTAATATCCAGTCATCGGAGTCATTTTGTCACAAGTCATGAAAAAGGTATAATTTACGACAAACTTCATTCTCACGAGTAATGACCACATTTATCGCCCATTCAATAATATAGTATTTTAGGTGTTTCTAGTAGCCAAACCACTTTTGTATTAGGCAAGCGTGAAGAAGTTATTGAAAAGTAAACTAGTGCTATTTATTGAATCTTTTTTCGAAAAAACATGCATTTAATTCTTTAAATATAATTACATTTTTATTTCATGGTCACTAGTTTGTCTCGATGACTAAGCTTGCTTTTGCAACATGCCTCCTTTGGTATCCTCCTTTATTTTTAATATTCGTGTATTGAGTCTTTTGTTCTCATAGATAGAGCCTTCGCGAGGGAGGATCTCATCTCATTGCTTTTACCTACTTAGGCTTGTCTTTTGGGGACAGTTGAGTCCAGCAATTAATTCGTGTTGTTCGGCATATCACACGAAGGTATTGTTTATGGGCTTTGATTTCACCAGTTAGTAAATGTTAATACCCCTTTGTGAAATTTCTGCATATGTCATTGAGTGAAAAATGTTCTTATATTTCTCATTTGTAGATGACATTTTTGTTGAAATATATTAAGCCATCATTAAGAATAAGTGTTGAGTGGTCTTGTGAAATACCTGTGCGACGGCGGTTACTATTTTAGGTCCTCCTGCTGCCCCAACAACCATTTTCACATTGCCTTTCTCGTCTATCAAAATAGATGGTGCCATGGAAGAAAGCGGCCTTTTTCCTGGTTCCATTTTGTTTTTAGGCGATCCAACTAAACCATAATAGTTTGTAGAGTTTGGGAAAGAAAAATCATTCATAACACTGTTGAGTACTATTCCAGTTTGCTTGGAAGTGATACCAGCCCCAAAACTGCAAATAGTGAATGTGTCAGTTCAAAAATGATCTTTGGCTGAACTAATATACCCACTAAATATTAATTGTACTGGTAACCGAAACGGCATCTCCATTTGGTGCTAATACTGCGAGATGAGCTGTACCGTGATTTATTTTGGAATATGATTCTGCTCCGTAATATAAAGGATCCGAATTTGTCACGTCATCTTTTATTCTCGATCTTATGATTCCAGCATATTCTTTTGAATTCAAAAGATCCAATATCTGAAAATATTGAATAGGTTAATATTTTTTCTAATTTATCTGTCTGAGTGTTGTTCTACTATTCATATTATGAAATGTTATTTTAAAAATTTAATGTACCTATGTTTTGTAGCCTGGCGCTCACGAATAAGGAGTTTATTGAATTCCTTTGAAAATGTCCTTGTAGGACGAAACTGCAGTAACGTTGGTTACACATACAAGTGTCATAAAAACATAGAAAGTTTCAATTCTCATTTCTCATTATGGTCTCCTACCACGTAGTAACGGCAACATTCATGAAACTTATAAACTTATAAAAAATGAAAAATAAATATAGTTTACGAAACTAAAAAACACGCTTTTAAAAAACATCGAACTAGAAAGTTGAAAATAATAATTTTTAAAATGAACTCAAGACAATAAAGAACGAAAAATAGTAGTATTATTGTGAAAAAAGCGTGGGCGCTTTGTGCCATATTTTTTGTATATCAAGCGCNAAATTAGATTTTATTTAATTGATCAACGAATATGCAATTTTGAGCCTGTCCGCTGAGAAATGTTCTCCAAAAAACTTAGTTTTTACCTGAGTATAGACGGATACGTGTATATGTGGAAGACGATACAAACTTTTTATTGTTACATATTTAATAAACATTTAATTCGACTAAGAATGTATGAATAAAAAAATACCACTTGTTTAAATTTAGGACATCTTCGCAATACTCCAATGATTGCAGATATTTTTAATGAGTGATTCAGTATGTAGATATATACCATTTCAGCAATGTATTCAAGAGCACACACAAGCGATGCTTTCGTGACGTATTACTTCTCACTTTTTTCACCTAATTGTATCAATATTCATCTACATGTCATTGAAATAAACGTTTTTATTATTATTACTTCATTTTTAGATTTTCACTAAACAGTTTTACAAAAACGCAATACAAAACGCTGTACAATAGTTTCTTCAATAAAGGCACGCCTGANTCAAAGTGTTTAGAATGTAATGGACAACATTTTCAGCATTGTGAAAATGTGATATTTTGTTTACAATTTTGTTATTTTGAATCATCCTATTCTGTTATTATTTGTACTTTCACATGTTTTAGCCCACCAAATCTTACTTTTTACCTAGAAATGACTGATTTTTGGTACAGTTGTTCCCTGGAAACTTTGCCTGGAAATGAGTTCTAGAACTGCCAATTGTGGCAGTTCTAGAACTCATGGATTATGATTTGGGTCAAATCCATAAGTTATTTTAAAATTATTTCAATAATTTTAAAAATATATGTCGATGTAATAAGAAATACTAAATAATTTGAGGTAATGAGGACATGAGATTTGATACATTGGCTAAAATTTACTTAATACCGTCCAACGATATCAACGGTAAAAATGAAGGATTCAAGTGGATGAATATTGAACAGGTCACATTTGAAATGATTAATGACATTTGTTTCAGACTACAGGTTGAAAAAAATTAAGTTTAACTGTAGTCAATTTACCTTCGTCACGTTTACAAAATTTGGATCTCCTAATTCGCCTCTCTTGGCGAAGGCATATTTAAATGCTTCGATTATCCTATGGTAGGTAATGACGGTGTCTTGCGTGCTCATCAGATTATTTCTAGTGAAACTATAACCTTCTAATATATTTAATATAAAACCTACAAGTAATCCTGATCCTGGAGGTGGAGACGAAAATAAAATCTTGTTTCCATAATTGAAGGAAACAGGTTCTTGCCATTCAACCCTGAAGAAAAATATGGAATATATGCGATTCTCTTGTTGAATATACATCCACACTTACTGATATTCTCTTAAATCTTCATCAGTGATAATACCACCTGCTTCCTCGATATCTTCCCGAAACATTTTTGACAAAGCACCGTTGTACATATCGTTAGCTCCATTGCGGGCTAGAATTCGCAAAGTGTTACACAATCTCTTAGGGATAACTGTCGACCCGGGTTTTTTAATGCTTCCATTTTTGTAACGAAACCATTCCCTTAAACATAAAATTATTACTTTAAGAAATTAAGCCTCATATTCAATTTGCACTTGTTACTAGGATCATTTAATTATTTAAAACTTACATATAAGGAAATGAAATACGAGGGTATTCACAAAATTACCTGACCTGTCAAAGGAAACAAACATTTCAGGACACACCTTTTCTTAAAAAAATGCGAGAATCTTCCAAAAAAGGAAGAAAGCTATTAATTTCAAAATCAACTCATTACAAAGATGTGCAGATTATGCAGAGCCTTTCAGGCATAAACTAGAAGAAAAACCCCTCTAGAAACAACTACTTTTACATGAAAACTTTTTCTTATTCAGTTTTTACTCCAAACATTCGTTATGTTAGTGAATCAGATATCATTCACAGGATTGCTACACAATATCGAGTATATGAAAGTATATTAAAGAGATAACATTTCACTTGAATGGAACACTGTCAATCTCAATGTTGGAAATCCGATGTTTCGATTGCCTCTTCAGAATCAATGTGATTAGGCACTCAATTTCTTCATAAAATTATGACTTTATGCCACGAATGAGTTAAATCTACTCAAGCCATCGATGAAATAATTTGCAAACTACTAAATAAACTGATAATAACCTTGAAAAGTGAAACTTGTGCCAAGGTAAGTCATAAAAAAAGGATACATCCTTATANCATGAGAATTTAAAATAAAAATTTCATACCCACTTTAATTCAAAATTTTTCATGTCATTATAAGTATGGACATCATTATAAGTATGTATATATCGAAACATATTTGTGAAATTTTCGAATGCTGTTGAAAATCATTGCAAGAAAGGTAAAGTTGACGGTTACTTAATATAATATAATATGAATCCAAGTCAATTCTTCTAAATGCATTTCAAATTGATTTGATTGTTGCTACTTTGGATATGAAATGATTCGAAATACTGAAACTATACATCATACAGGGGTAACTCAAATGTTTCCAAAAAATTAAAATAAAGTGGAATAGGAGCTAGGTCATGACTTCGAATTTGAATATAACTTTTAATTATTAACAATTTTTGTTAATAACATTTCTTTGTATTTTTGGAAGTAAAGGTACTTTATTCTTGACGGAATTTAATATTAGTCGTCCCGTTACAAACTTAATGAAACACTGTATATGCCATATGTAAGTACTTCAGATCAGGTATTTCTGGAACAACCCTCGTAAACATACTTTTGAACATACCGAAAATTATAATCAGTTATGTCGTGTTTCATTAAAGACAAATGCTGGTGTTTGCTCATAATGTATCCGCTTTCACAAAGTTTTATCGAAGGCTCAATCAGTTCGTTCCATGGTAATTTTCCAAATTTTTGGTGAGCTTCCCAGTAGCCTTTCAACTCTCCCGGAACTCCGACGGCGAGAGGACCTGTCGACAGAAGTGACTGAAAACAAAAAAACTTAAGAGTGAGATTCGCCTTGACAAGATATGTTTATTAAAAGGTAGAATTGGAAACCTCGGTGAAGAACCACTATTGAAACCACGTTTATCACAAAAGATGAAATTTGAGGCTTTTAACGTGTATGAGGGAGAAATGGATTGAAAAAATATGGTCCAACTTCAAGGTAATTGGAACTTAATATTCCACAGGAAACTTACACTATCTGTTCAAAAAATAAGGTAAATTTTATTTCCCCAAAAAAATATTTATTTAATCATCAATTTCTCATCAAACCTCGGTGAAGAATGAATCTATTGTAACCACGTTTATCACAAAAGATGAAATTTGAGGCTTTTAACGTATATGAGGGAAAATGAATTGAAAAAATATGGCCCAACTTCAAGGTAATTGAAACTTAATGTTCCATGGGAAAGTTACATATACGCTGTCTGTTCAAAAAATAAGGTGAATTTTAATTTTTTCCCAAAAAAATATTTATTTAATCATCAATTTCTCATCAAACCTCGATGAAGAATTAATCTATTGAAACCACGTTTATCACAAAAGATGAAATTTGGGTCTTTTAATGTATATGGGGGAAAATTTAGTGAACAAATATGTCCCAACTTCAAGGTAATTGAAACTTAATATTCCACGGGAAAGTTACATACAGGGTGGGGCACCGAAAACGAAACAGATCGAATATCTTCAATACACATGTGTTCTGAAAAAAATGCAAAAACACGACGATTTGTAATTCAAGAGGGACATCTTCCTATCATAACCTTAACTGTCATACCTCTTCCCCCACCCCTCGGTGACTATCACCCAAACAATTTGAATAGGGAAAGTAGTAAGTATGACACATCGTTAAAAAGGTAATTTCTTAAGGAATTTAGCCATGTCAAATTTAGCTTCTTGTTTTTCTAGGGGAAAAACAAGATGGCGGCTTCACTATGGCGGACAAGATTTGCAATTATGGTCGGATTTGATTCAAAACTGATAAGTGGTGGTTTTCAGGGTCGGAAATTATGAATTGTTTTTCAATGCAAAAAATTAAGATGGTGGCTCCAAAATTTGTGATTATGGTTCGATTTAACCCGACACCGAAAACGAATTCTTCAAAACACATGTATTATGAACATAATGCAAAAACACGTCAATTTTAAATCCAAGGGAGACAAATCTTATCGTTATCTCAACTGTTATACTTATCTCCCCACCCTTTGTTCACTAATACAATTTGATTATGGAAAGTACTAAGTGTGACACATCATTGAAAAGGTAATTCCATAAGGAATTCAGACATGTGAGTGTTCGATACTTAACTTTTCATTTTGGCGCTCTATTGCAGAAAAAAGATCTGTTTCGTTTTTCAATTCACATTTTATTTGAAAGGTAATGTGAACAATTCATGGAAAAAAAACAACAATTGAAAAAATTACATAATTCAATCATCGCAAACTACTTAACTTCGCAATAGATGCTCAAAGTGTTCGCCATGAACTGCCATAAATGAGTATAAGTTATTCTTGAAACGCCGTCTGACGTTTTTGAGCATTTCTGAAGTTATTCGATGACATTTGTACCTTTGGAATAACAATTGACCTACTGCCTATGTATTGGTATAATAAAAAACCTTTTGTTTCAGTGCTTATTTGTGTCAGTTTCCAGACAGTAGTACGTCAGGTACATTAACGAGTGAAATAAAAAATGGTTTATTCTATTCAGGAAAGGGTTGAATTTGGTCATTATTACGCCTTGGTCAAAGAAGAAACGGACTGGTTTAAGTTTGACGATAGTCGTGTCACGAAGTGTTCTGGCGATGCATTGAATTTATTGGAGCCTCTGGAGACACCCTACATTTTGTTTTATAAGAGAGAGGACATTGTTAGATCTTCAAACCTCGATGAAGAATTAATCTATTGAAACCACGTTTATCACAAAAGATGAAATTTGGGTCTTTTAATGTATATGGGGGAAAATTTAGTGAATAAATATGTCCCAACTTCAAGGTAATTGAAACTTAATATTCCACGGGAAAGTTACATACAGGGTGGGGCACCGAAAACGAAACAGATAGAATATCTTCAATACACATGTGTTCTGAAAAAAATGCAAAAACACGTCCTATCATAACCTTAACTGTCATACCTCTTCCCCCACCTCTCGGTGACTATCACCAAACAATTTGAATAGGGAAAGTAGTAAGTATGACACATCGTTAAAAAGGTAATTTCTTAAGGGAAAACAAAAATGTTCCGTATTCCAAATTATGATACTTCATTCGCAAGCTAATTTGACATAAATTTGGTGACAATGCATTATGGAGTTTTTCTAGGGGAAAAAACAAGATGGCGGCTTCACAATGGCGGACAAGATTTGCAATTATGGTTCGATTTGATTCAAAATTGATAAGTGGTGGTTTTCAGGGTCGAAAATTATGAATTGTTTTTCAATGCAAAAAATCAAGATGGTGGCTCCAAAATTTGTGATTATGGTTCGATTTAACCCGACACCGAAAACGAATTCTTCAAAACACATGTGTTGTGAACATAATGCAAAAACACGTCAATTTTAAATCCAAGGGGGACAAATCTTATCGTTACCTCAACTGTCATACTTATCTCCCCACCCTTTGTTCACTAATACAATTTGATTATGGAAAGTACTAAGTGTGACACGTCATTGAAAAGGTAATTCCATAAGGAATTCAGACATGTGAGTGTTCGCTACTTAACTTTTCATTTTGGCACTCTATTGCAGGAAAAACATCTGTTTCGTTTTTCAATTCACATTTTATTTGAAAGGTAATGTGAACAATTCATGAAAAAAGAACAACAATTGCTTGCCGAATTATTTGGAGTAGGTCGACGTACCGTCGGGCGAATTTTGAAAGTTCACAAATTCCATCGATACAAAATTAAACTGGTTCAGGAACTTAACGATGACGACTTTGATCGTCGAATACAATTTTGTGAAATCATGAGTGAATGTGCTATACAAGATCCAAATTTCGTTTTCAATATTTGTTTTTCGGATGAATGCAGTTTTTATATCAACTGGATTGTCAATCGATATAATTGTCAGTACATGTTAGATTGCAATCTAAGAGTATTTCACCAAATACATACGCAATCCCCACAAAAATTGAATGTTTGGGCTGGAATATTTGGCGATCGTATTATTGGTCCATTTTTTCTACCAGGTAATTTGACTGGGGATATGTATTTGGAATTACTCTAAGATACCGTTGATCCAACGTTAATGGACATAATAGAAAACGATAATCGATACCTTGAGGATCACCTAATGTTCCAACAGGACGGATCTCCTCCACATTTTGCTGTAGCGGTTCGTCAGTACCTGGATGAAAGATTTCACAAACACTGGATTGGAAGAAGAGGATGCATTGAATGGTCCCCCGATCTTCAGATTTATCCCTCTAGATTAACTTTTGTGGGGCCATTCAAAAAGTAGAATATACGCCACTCAGCCATGTTTGTTAGCAGAGTTACGTCAACGTATTATTACCGAATGTCATCAAATAACCCCAGACATGCTCCAAAATGCCAGACAACGTTTTGAGACGAACTTATACTCATGTATGGCAGTCAGTGGAGAACATTTCGAGCATCTACTATGAATCAATGTAGTTTGGAATTATCTCAGTTAAATTTATCAATTTTCCAATTTTCAAGTTATGTCATTTTTTCAATTTTTGTTCTTTTTTGGTGAATTTTTCACATTATCTTTCAAATAAAATGTGAATTGAAAAACGAAACAATTGTTTTTCCTGCAATAGAGCGCCAAAATGAAAAGTTAAGTAGCGAACACTTACATGTCTGAATTCCTTATGGAATTACCTTTTCAATGCTGTGTAACCCTTAGTACTTTCCACAATCAAATTGTATTAGTGAACAAGGGGTGGGGAGAGAAGTATGACATTTGAGGTAACGCTAAGATTTGTCCCCTTTAGATTTAAAATTGGCGTGTTTTTGCATTATGTTCACAACACATGTGTTTTGAAAAATTCGTTGTCGGTATCGGGTTAAATCGAACCATAATTACAAATTTTGGAGCCACCATCTTGATTTTTCGCATTGAAAAACAATTCATAATTTCCGACCCTGAAAACCATCACTTATCAATTTTAAATTAAATCGGACCATAATTGTAAATCTTGTCCGCCATTGTGAAGCCGCTATCTTGTTTTTTCCCTAGAAAAACTCCATCATGCATTGTCACCGAATTTATGTCAAATTAGCTTGCGAATGAAGTATCATAATTTGGAATACGGAACAGTTTTTTTTCCCGAAAAAAGGCGCCAAAATTGAAAGTTAGGTAGCTAAAATTGACATGGCTGAATTCCTTATGAAATTATCTTTTTAACGATGTGTCACACTTACTACTTTTTTTATTCAAATTGTTTGGGTGATAGTCACCGAAGGGTGGGGGAAGAGGTATGACAGTTAAGGTTATGATAGGAAGATGTCCTCCCTGGATTACAAATCGACGTGTTTTTGCATTTTTTTCAGAACACATGTGTATTGAAGATATTCGATCTGTTTCGATTTCGGTGCCCCACCCTGTATACAAAAGTACGCTGTCTTTTCAAAAAATAAGGTGAATTTTCGTTTTTTTCCAAAAAATATTTGTTTAATCATCAATTTGTATTTTATTCCCTTCAAAGTAGTCCCACTCAGTCCCGCTGTGCCAGCGTTTTTATGAAGCAAAAATCATGAATTGTTTTTCCACCATACCGGACGTTTCCATAACTTCAAAATAATACTTCTTATTAACCGTACGACCACGTGTAAGAACTCTGATACGCTACGCCACGGTAATCGAAGAAAACAGTAAGCAAAACGTTGGCATTTGATCGAACTTGGCGTACTTTTTTTGATTTGGGTCTTCTGGGCTCTCCCATTAGGACGATTGGACTTTGGTTTCGATGTTATAACCATATACATGATTCGTCACCGGTTATGACCCTTTTGACGTCATTCAACTATTTCTGAGCTATGCTCACGCATAGTCAAAATTCAGCAAGACGAGCGTCGTCATTCACATCTTCTCGACCTTTTGTGAAAAGCTTGTACCACCTGCAAACATTTTTCTGACTGAGAGTGCAATCAACGTATGTCACTGTCAATATTTTCAAGTGTTTTGAGTAGTTAATTCCATTTTTACACGAAATTTTATACAAATTCTTTGATCCATTTTTTTAAAGCAAAAAATCGCCGAACACACAAATTACTTCTAACTTTGATACCTCTCACAAACAAACAAAACATGCTCAACAGCTGAAACTGTGAACATATTGTAACGAATCTGAAGCCGGCCCTGACCGATATCTCAGCCAGCAAACACATGATTCACCGCGAACCGCCACGAAAAGTATAGATGAGTACCGAAACCACTAGAGGAATCTAGAGCGATCGTTACCGATATAAAAGGTCGGCTTCCCGTCCAGAGAGGGAGTATGAATTCAGAAAGCGAATCGAGCGGTAAACAAAGAATTCGAACAGTGAAGATAAATTAAGCGTTAGTTGCTAAGTGTTGAATATAAATTAGTTGTGATAGTGAAATATTGTTAAAAATAAATTTGTTCAAGACAGTTAATTCTTTAATTCGTTCATCGAACTGTATCGGCCGGATCTTAGATAATTTGCTTTCCTCGAATATTTCGTTGCCAACTAATATAATGGTCCTTTTAGGTGAAACAATATATATCATGATTCTCACATTCATAATTGAAACTAAAATATCAATATAAAGTGTAGTAACTCGTTTTATTTCGAAATTTCTGTGGCAAAATAAACTCCAGTTTTGATGCCAAGGAGGGGTAATAAAAAAAACATGTTCAAGACGAGTGGACCAACATAAAAAAATAAAAAAAATCTTTAATCGAACGTACGTAGCCCGCGAAGTTTGAACATTTACTAAATTTTTTGAAAAGTCCACATTTATACATACAGATAGCGTCGTAACTATTTTCTGAGCTTGATGCCAGAGGTTTGCAGGTTTTTATGCTTGAAGTTTCGTCTATGACTGCGATAGAAATTATTAAAGGCGACGGACGAAGTGTTCTAGTTGTCTTCATAACAACTAGAACACAATAGTTATGTTTTATTGCCACCCGGGTTGAGTCATTTTCCCCAAAAGATATTGGATATCCCCGCTCGATGTATTTTGATCAAGCAAAGAGAGTGAATTTCTTTTGGCGAGCAGCCCAATCTCGAATAAGATGTCGATAAAATACACCTAGTATTGGGTTGGTATTCTGGTTTTATTCCACTGGTGGTGGGCACGTGGTTTCGTTTCTATTAGTTGATTTAAATGACCTGATACGTATGCAATTAAGAGCAGGTAGTCAGACTTTTCAAATGTTAATTTCCTCTTCTTTTCCTTTCTGTTGAATTTGTTTCTATCACCTCCCTATAGTTATTTCGAATTCTATCAAGCATTTTCGTTTCGTCAAAGGCAATGATATGGGTACCTTCTCTGACTGCATGTTTTGCTGTAGCTGATTCATTGGTATGCCCCAGGCGACAATTTCTTTCGAGTTCAGAGTACTGGGTACTTACAGTTGACTTCTCAAATGACTCCGTTTCAACAATAAAGAAAGCCAGATTTAAATCACTTTCACAGTAAACTGTTTAAGTTCATTATTAAAGTACGTGGGTAAGTTGAAAAGATTCATGAACAACAGTGAACCAAATTGACTGATAAGTAATATACAATTTGTAACATTCATTGACATATTTTTTTCACATGTATATTCTGAAATATTGAAACTTTTATATTGAAACACAATTTATTAATTTGGAATTAAGTCAAAAATACTCTTGATGGGTCTCTTATCCGATCAATTGGCAATAACATTCTATATTTACTCGAGTGATGACTTGAAAGGCATTTGAATATATGAAAAACAAAGCAACAAAATATTTTATCAGTTACTTGATAAAAATCTATATGCGTGATGCCCAGTAAATTATTACATACAAAACAACTTGTTTTATCTTATCGAGTTCTATATAAATGTTTATCAAAATATGTGTTTTCCATTGTTGCTGTGATAGCAAGGAAGAGTAAGATAAATCATAAAGGATAAAGAAAAATTAAAGTTACTATTGACATCTTTTTTGAGTATGTTAACCTTTCACAACCTGAATAGGAAAAACTTCTATTCATCAGCAACTTTTCGCATTTAATAATTTTGCCCATGACATCTGAGGAGGATCTTTAAAAATAAAGTGAACTAGCGAATGAAAAACTGCTAATATCAACATATTTTTTAAATTCTGAAGACGGGGGTAGATTTTAGCTTCCGATATTTATATACGTATATGTATTTTTTGAATTTAATTTTGATAGACAAACTTTTTAAATACGAAGTTACTGATGCTACTATTTCTATTGGTTTACTTGTAAGAAATGGCCATAACAGAATTTGATAAATATGGGACAACTACTGCTTTCATCAGAAATATTCCAGATGTTCCTCTACAATGCCCAAAAAATGACTTCTAAATAAGGAAATACACAGTATTTTGAAAAATTTTGCTATAAAATCATCTGAAAGCAATGAGTATTCTTGAAACTTATTCGATAAGTGATTAGGTACATAAGTATAAGAAAATAAATATCTCGAAATCAAATATTAAAACAATCATCTCTCCCAACGTACCTACACAGAAGGTTTTGGTAAATGTCTACCGGAAAACAACTACTTCACCGGCTAATACCACGTTGGACATTGAACAATATCCGACAGACATTTATGCAAGATACCTCACAGAGGTTAGTCTTCCAGATGTTTTTCGTTCATCCAGCAGCAGGACCACGCTGAAATCAGTCGAGTAGATAACCTACAGACCGATTTCGAGGTATTGCCCCTCATCAGTGCAGGAAAGATCCGGCCCAAACAGCAGTGTGCTTGGGATTTGATTAATTTCAACGCGGCTCGACTGCATGCATGAAACCTTCGTCTAAGAGAAAGATTGTTAACTAGTAACAGCTCCATCTCGTGAACAATACCCCAAGCGGGAAAGAAACATCCTCTGTATCAATACTTTGACAGCAATCAAAATAAGCTTGAAGAAATGATATTCTCGAAACATTAATCTTTCCCAACGTACCTATACACAGAAGGTTTTTGTGAATGCCTACCAGAAAAAAACTACTTTCCCGGCTAATGCCACGTTGATCATTGAATTAGGCACAGTATATTTAGCGAATGTCCTCTCAAATTGTTCAAACGAATACGTTATTTCCAGTTCACTGTTGTGCCAGTCGATGTGATATAGTGATTTAGAAACCAGTTAAACCCCGACGGATAAAGGTAAATCAAAATCGGACTCTAGTATTCATATTGTCGAATCAAGTGACCTGCATTTTTAATGACACCAAAAAAATTAAACAAAAAATCTTTTTGCCAGGCTGTGGTGTTGTTTGGGTTTTCAACGAAGTAAAGTAAATAAAATTATGAAGTTATAAATAATTTTACCGCTGGCTGATTTGTACATTTGATTCTTGTAGATTCGATTTTTGGATTTCATCGGTGCAACTTCTCTTGCATTCAAGAAATAAGCTTTTTTTTCTTTCCTTATATAAATTGTCATTAGAAATCCTCCACCAAGACCCATACTTTGCATATTGATGATGCCGTTACAGAACATTGCAGCTATTATTGAATCCACCGCTGATCCATTCTTCAGTAGAATGTCCCTGAAAAAGAAATGGTTTTCACAAATATTTTTATTTATACTATAATTCCAGAATAGTAAGCACTAAATTCTCAGCCATGATCGACTTTTTGCCTTAATCTGTCTCTTGTAGTGGCGTGCGGATATTATACAAAACAGTTGAGGAAAACTATAAATGTTTAAAAAATGTTAAAACAAAACAAAACGTTCAGCTGATTAAAATTTAGTTCTTTCTGAATAACATGTCGTGATGTACAGTTTTTATATTATCATTTTTTATTTGAAATCTAATTTAAAACAAAATTTAAATTGCAGTTTGGAGTCTTAAGCACGAGTTTTGCAAAACCTAAATATGTAGTTTAACAGTTTTTCCTAAAAATTATTCAATACTCGGAGGCCAAAATCTGCCTCCGTCTTCAGAAATGGATAAAAAATTCGAATATATTCGCAGTTATTCCTTTTTTGATAACTTATTTCTTTACTTCTTCGACAGATGTCAAAGAAGTTTTGAAATATGAAATTATGTCAATGTTGTTGATTGACAACTGAAACATTCGATGTAATACAAGGTACTCTCCGAAATCAGTTTGTTGCCATTTCGCCACTATCCAAAGTTTTCTCCGAAACGTAAAAGATAAGTATTATTTCTTAATAGGCAAAATTGTTAAATACGACAAGTTACAGATAAATAGAAGATTTTTCTTTGTGAAAAATACTATGATTTTTACGCAGTAACTTATCGGGGTAAACTTAAAAGTTTGCCCTCCTACACTTGTATGAAGTTCTCCATTCTAATTTTTATATTTTTCAGATTGTGGAAGGTAACAAATACCCAAAAAAGGTCGATGATAAACTGATTTTTTCTTCCACAAAAATGACTTTCATTGAATATGTATTTGTCCTCTCCTTTCATCCGTATGTCTCCTTAAATTTGCCTGTACTTGGGTTACATCAGGTAATGTCCTTTGTGTTGGTGTTTGTCTAGGTTGATTGTTTCTAGGAATGTGTATTGTTTTGTGGACTATGTTGATTGTTAGGTCTTGTGTTATGATTGCTTTTGAATTTATGGATGTTTAGGTTTTCCCAGATATCCATACGGTTTCCTTTATTGACTTGTTTTATGAGTTTTATGTTATCTGGTGGTGGAAAGTTATGTTTCTTTTGTATAGCATATATGTTGCGAGGTTTTATTTATATGTTATTGGGTTTATGTATGCCTTTTTGTGCTCGTCGTACTTTTGGATCAGTTTTTTCTTGGTTTGGCCGATATAGAATTTGTTGCAATCCGAGCATTGTACGCTGTACACTCCGTTTAGGTTGTTGTCTTCTTCTTTTTCATAACTGTTTATTTTTTGTGTTATTTTCGTGTTTGGCGTGTAAGTGATGTTGATGTTCAGGTGTTTGAAGATGTTTGTTAATTTTTTGGTTTGGTGACCAATGTATATGAATGCAGTCCATCGTTGTGTTGTTTTATCTGTTGGAGTACTTTCATCCTTGTTCTTTATTTTTTGTTCAATTTCTATTTTCTAATTTATCTATTGTCTTTTGGGTATATCCGTTATCGTTTGCGATTTGGTATATGATTTTCCTTTCCTTGTTTCGGGCTTCATTGCAAAGTGGTATCCTCAGCATTCTGTGTATGACTGCGTTATATGCAGCCATTTCATGTGATGATGGGTGGTTCAAAGTTGCGGGTATGGTAGAGCTTGTTTGTGTAGGTTTCCTGTATATTGCCATTTGAAATTTTGTTTTGTTGTGGTTATATCCGATAGTTATGTCCAGGTAGTTGAGTTTCGAGTCGTTTTCTTCCTCTATGCTGAAAATCAGTTTTTGGTTTATTTTTTAGTTTCCTCTGTTATTTTCCTTTGTTTTGTGATATGTACAGACCATTGTCAACGTATCTGAACAATTCTCCTTTTTCATCGTGTGTTTTGATTATTGTTAAAATTTTCTCATCTATGGTTTGCAGGTATATTTCCGAAATAATGCAAGGTAGTGGGAATCCCATCGCTAGTCCAACTGTTTGTTTGTAAATTTTTCCTACGGATTCGAAATATTTTTTGTTAAGTATTGTATTCAGGGTGGATTTCATCTGGTTAATGTTGATCCTGTTCATGTTTTGTTGTTTTAGTTTATCTGATATGATTTTTATACTTTATACGCATGTATGACTATGTTTATATTAATATATAATTATTTTTTATCTAACATGACGAGCTTCGTCAATAAGATTACATCTTGGACAATGAAGAATATTTTGATTGATTCAAAATCCTTTAAGGAACAGGTGTTATTGGAATGTATAGTTACGTTAAAAAATGATTCAACTTTATTTTTTCAACTTTCCCAAGAAACAATGTATGTTTATAATAGGAAAATTCAAATTCATAATGTGTATAAAAATATACAGAGTGTCCCTGGACTTCCTCTTTTCCTCTCGGGAATATATAGATGGGGTCAAAATATCACCAGTACTTCATATAACTTTTTTTCCTAAAATTATTTTTTAGTTGAAAAATAAGCTTTGTGCTTTCAGAGAATGAGATTTTCGATTTCCTTGTGAAATTTTGTGATCAGATGAGATAACCGTTTTTTCATAGACAATGGCAAGTTACCAAATTGCTCATGGTGGACCCAAGAGAACTCTTGTTATGTAATCGAATGTCGGGATCGGTACAAATCTATGTGCAGTTCGTTATATTTGAAAATCAAATAGATAATAATATTTTACGATTTAAGTGCAGTTTTGGATAATGTCCACCAACATACCAGACAAAATTTATGTTATCAACTTGATAGCCCATCAATGCACTAAACTGTTGCAGCAAAGCAGTTCATCAATCAAATGTTCAGAGGCAAAGTTATAGAACGATAGGTAACTACTGCGAATATTATTGGCCATATTGAACACCTGATTCAACGCCGTGTGCCTTTAAATAGTGGTATTCATGATAATAATTACAGAATTTTCACAATAAATTTTATTTAAAACGTATTTTGCTGCACGTTAGCTACAATGTCTTTCATAAAAAAACAGAATAGTTTTATTACCGGGAACTGATGAAGCTACCGTGTAGCGAAACGTGTTTTAAATGAAATTCATTGTGAAAATTCGATAATTATTATCATGTATGGACTTATTAATTTTCATCAAGTAACATGTCAGATTATCTATAATTTTAATAATGGGATTAGTTGAAGCACTTAGCTCATAAAAGTAAAATAGAACTTTTTTTTAATTTTCATTACCAAATGAGGACGTATTCAAAAAACACACTTCAATGTGAGATTTCCACTTGAAAGTTTACGGGCGTCACAATATTGTGTATTGTGACACAAGAAGATGCTATCGTATAGCGAAACACGTATCGCGGTTTTGTAAAATTTCAAGTGGAAATCCCACATTGAAGTTTGTTTTTCGAATATGTTATAATGGATTCTCATCAAGTGTCAGTCAATTCTATCATATTAATTTGTCGAATATAGCCAAAATCAATTTGGTCTTGATTATATGAAATTTTGTTATATGGTCATTAGACTACATAAAAACTACTAGTGTATGATTGTCCATGTTACTATTGGTACAATTTAAAACAGAAACCAAGTCCAATTTTACGTAAGCCTGTTAGTAAAAAAATATCATATGTTGCCGACTTCAATGATATTTATTACCTACTGTAAGATAAGAGGACCAGCATGGAAAAATCGGAAACTGTCAGAGATACAAAGCCATCTAAATTAAAAAAAAAACGCATAAAGTTTTCTATTTAAATCAGTAGCAGAGTATTTTATTTTTTTCAGAAACCGAAACCGACTATCGTTGTAATGTCAAAAGTGTTACAGAGTTGGATAATAATAATAATAAATTTATTGCCCATCAAAAACAACAAGATAACAATAAAAAAAAATTACAAGAGAGAGAGAAAAAAACACTTTGTATTTGATGTGCAAATGGACTTTTGGTTCAGATCGCGAATCTGCTCTTCCACCAATGCCAAAAATGTGTAAAAATAAAATATTACATTAGGGTTCGAAGGAAAAAAAAAGAAAAGGAAAGAATGAGAAGGTAATATATAGATATAGAGATATATGAACAGCTAAACTTTTTTTAGGATTCTCGCTGCTAACCTAGTTATTCTGAATGCTGAACATACTTTTAAAAACAGTTTCTGATACATTAAAACAATTGTTTTTCCATTCATGGAGATAATTTATTGTGGAGGCGATATTATAGAGAAAATATCGTTTTCCTTTTTATATACAGGAATGTTCAAAACTACTTTTTCAAGCAAATTCATGTTCTAAAAGACAAAATGACACATAAGATTGTAAAGAAAACGTTTACGATTAAACATATTCACCAACTTCAAATTTGCTAATTTTTGTGGAATTCTAGACCTTCTTCTGATATCACATATTAACCTGATGCAAGAGTTTTGAACTTATTGTATGCGACACCTGTCGTTCTTGTCTAAACATTATTGATAAACAGCATTACAGTGGTTGATATGAAATGAAACTAATGAATCACATAGCATTTTCTTGACATCTACATCCAAATATTTTCTATGGGGATATATGAGTATCAATGATGAATAGCAATTCCAAGTTTGAAGGTTACATGTTCATGAAATGTTAGTTTATGATCAAAAATTAACTTCAAATTTTTTGAATACGGTCTAAGTTGTATCTCAGAGTCTCCCATTTTCATGCTGTAGTTTTTTACTTCTTCCCTGATGCCAATACTTCCAAAGGTAATAGCTACTAATTTGTTTGGATTGATTTTCAACATTTGGTCAGGGGACACTTTTAAAATCGTGTTTAGATCGAAATTTATATTGGTTACTGCTTGACCTAAATCTGAAGATTTGAAAGATAAATATATTTGAGAGTCATCTGCATATAGGTGATATTTACAACACTTCGACTTCTTGATATATCGAAAGACATATCAAATGAAGTCTCACTCGACTATTTGCATTTGAAATATTTGACACGTAGAAATGTATTTCCCTGAAAAGCAAAGTTGACATGTTTTACAATTTTTTTACATTCTTGATATCAAATGACTTATTCATTGTGGTTCGTTATAACGAATATATTATTCAGTATTGAAGATAGATTATTTCGCAAACGGAAAATCAGTCTAGTTTTCAAATTGGATTGTTTATTGCCCTGAAGAATTTTCAAGATGACGATTTAAAAACTATTGTTTGTGAAGTTTATTACACTATGAGTTGGAATTTCTGGTTCTACCCTTTCTCTATCGGATATTTATCTCAATGATCTATTCTATTTGAAAACACTTCATGCTACGAACAGAGGATATATTGGTAAGGCTGGTTGTCTAACCTAAGAACTGTTCACTGGCGCTGGTTGGTGAACAAAGGTCGAGTCAATGTATTTTTTCCTTGTTTAAAAAAACATATTTTTACTATATTTATATTCGCCCACTTTTAAGTCATTGCCTTCGCCTCCTCAATAAGCCGTGCCAGTACAGTGGTGAATTTATACATGAATAATTCTGGTAAATGCAAGTCAATTATTTGTTGTATTCATGGCGAACTACTGGTCGGTTATTGTGAAAGAAAGAGGAATAATTTTTTAATGAAAGTATGTGCGTGTATATATCACAATACTCATTTAAAATGTATTCAATGTTCGAAACAAACACTGTTCTCAAACAACAGAAATGCAACAACCTTCTTGACGCGCGTTTCATCAACCAAGTTGGCGTCATCAGGAGATGAAATACATTGATTCCTAACTCTATAATTAGTCTCAATCTATATCTAACAAGGGATACTTTCACTTTCAGACATATATCAATGATTTCGGGTAGAAAAAGACAGGAAAATTATCAAATGATTGAAAGAGAGATATGTTTTATATCTGAAATCAGACAAAGGCAATACAGTTGTGACATTGTTATTCCCATGGACTTGGATCCGATATGTATGTGATATTTTTCCGATTTTTGACACAATGGAATCTGAGGTACCTGAAGGACTTTGTTTCAACTCTCAACAATCGATCTCCGACCATTGAGTTTACATATGAATTTGAAAATAACAAGGAATTACCATTCTTGAATGTTTTAGTGATTGGTAGTAACCAGGGTACTAGGATTTGATGTAGGTACATAGGAAGAATACCTGTACTGACATTAATTGAGAGTTCATTGTCCTTCCGTATGAACCAAAATATACCAACGGATTGGATCGAATTATCAAAAAGTTAGCAAATGTCAGGTGACCCTAAAGACAAGATGTTGGAAAATGAAAAGTCGGGGATATATGGGATAAACTGTGAGGACTATGGGAAAAAATATATCGGTCAGACTGAGCGAGCTATTAAAACTCGATTCATAGCTCATATCCGATGACAAGGAGAGCAACCATATAATGAATGAAAACTGTTTGAAATTGTTGAGATCGGTACAAGAAACTAGAGTTTTGGATGCTTTCGAAAATATGGAAATATTATTTTATTTTACTCGTAGGAAGCGTTCTCAATTAAATTATCAATTCTCTAGTAGTAGGTACTCTGATTTATCCAATATCACAATCTCATTACCTTTGTCTGCATTCATATATAAAACATCTGCTCCTTTCAATCATTTGATAATCTTTCTTTCTTTTTCCACCCGAAATCATTGAGGTGTGTCTGAAACTGAAAGTGTAACTTTTAAAAAATGAATAGAGATCAGTTTCAGAAATAGGTATTAGCGATCTTTATCTCCTGAAGATGCCAACGTGGTTGGTGAAACGTGCGTCAAGAAGAGTATTGCAGATCTAGTGCTTTGGAACAGTGCTCGTTTTGGATTTATTCCACCTTTCACATCAATACTGAATGTCGATGTTGTAATTTCCCCCCATAAATCTGCCCTTGATATGATACCATTATATATGTCCTTCATTGTATCGACAATACTCACCTGTTTACTGATTAACTATTTTTTTAACAATGGTACTACATTTATGTTATGTATATATATCCTCCTGTTGGATTTCTATATTTATTCGGAAATTGCCTCGTACAACTTGTGGCATTGAAATATGTATATTTGCCAATAAATATTATTATTATTATATAGTGTGCGTCACATATCGGACTCCATTCAATCGCCTGCATTTTCATTTCAATTAAAATCTGAATTTTTCTTTTTTTTGCAGAACTGGTTGAATCAAAGTTCAAATGAATTTTTCCTTAAGTTTTTCGAATGGAAAAATCTGTATTTCATTTTAGTTTCCCATTGCTGACCATTTTCTTCAAATATTGGGTTGTAAAAGTATGAGTGCACTACAGGGTGGATCAAAACTCGAAAGCACGTTTTCTTGATTTTTTTCGAATGGAAACACTTATTTTATAGTGGTTTCCCCTTGTGAACCATTTTGTGAAAATATGAAGTTGCATGATTAAATACCTATTCACAATTTCCCAAATGATTTAATTGAAATAGTTTTTATACTGGCAATTCGACGGAGATATTGGGCGATTGAAAGATTTTATTTTTTTTGATGAATGTAGCCATTACTACGTGATAGATCATAATGGAGAAAAGATAATTCAAACTTTCTATGTTTTTTATCACTTTATTTGTAACTAACGTTACTGTGGTTTCGTCCTATAAGGACATTTTCAAACTTATACATTAAACATAATGTAGTAACATAACTGCAGTAACGTTAGTTACAAATAAAAGTAGTAAAAAATATAGAAAGTTTCAATTTTCTTCTCTTCAAAATAAGTATAATTTTCTCAGTATTCCACCATGCCGAATAAACCTAGATTATTTTCCTTGAGCAGGTTCAGTAATTTTCAAAAAACTTTTTTGTGTTCAATGACAGTCTTCACATTTTTATCCATCGAGATTAATTAAGCCTTATGAACAACATTACTCGAAAATCTAATAATTTGATTCGAAGTTATATCAGCCAGAAATTTCTATTTGAATTTTTGTTTGACTAGTTTGTGTTAAAAGTAATACATTTCTGGCACACTTTTTGTTATAACTAACGTAACGGGCATATGCCCAAAATCTCAGAAACTGATCTTCAAGGGCATTAATAATATAAAAAAAAGGGTTTTACACATTCGAAATAATAGAGATTAAGTAATGTTTTCTAGTCTCGATTTACCCCGTACTTATATTATAAGATAATGAAAAAACAATATCTTGAATAAAATATCAATAATAAAACAAACTCTTCAACTGAGCTTTTATTGAGAATAGGGACCGTTGAATATGAGATTTCCCCATTAGATATTCCCATAAAGAGCGGTATTTTTGAAAGTACCTACTTTTCTAAAAAAATCTGAATATGGAAAGTAATTTATGATGTTAAAGAAACTAGCTTTGATTCGTCACAATTCTAGTGGAAATTATGTTGGTGAATAATTTGAAAGAGTTCAATGCATTATTAGCTAAACCTTTTTTAAACAAAACATTTTTGATGATTTCGCTTCAAAGGTTTAATGTAGATAGTATATTTATTGGTGTTTACTATTTGTCTTTTAGATCCAGAAAGGTCAAGAAGTTTCATTGCCCAAAGATGTCAAGTAATATCTTTTGTTCAAAAATGACTTTTTGTCACATTTAGTGGATAACTAGGGCAACACCAATTATTATTTTCAGTTAATATATCATTTCTTTCTTACAGAATGCCTTCCGATAAGTAATATCAATTTAAAAACATGTTCTAATTGAATAGATAATTAAAATTCCTTTCAGAAAAGGTACCATATGATATTCTTTCTCTTAAAAGGGTCATGTGGCAGCTAATTAGAAAGTTATATTCTGTATTTAATATTAATGTTTTTTCGATTCCATTTAATTGTTGGTTTCTAAGCTGGCTATCATGATTGAAATAGATTAAAAATTCAAGTTTACCTATAATCTTTCCATTAACATTTGAAAATAGTTTTCTGTAGTTACAAAGAAATAATATAATTGAATAGCTAAATTCTGTTATTTGATTTGCATTTCATGATTCTTCTGATTTTTTTGAGATCAGTGGTGACGGGACACGTCACAATTTTATTTTTTAATTTTAATAGTAAAATATTAACGAATTCAGCAAGATTATAAGAACTTTTTTACCTACCTACCTCATGATCCCACTATATGTAGTAGTTGGGACTAAATATTTGAAGAATAACAACCTGGTAAAAACAATGATGACCTTCAATTGAGAATATGGAATTTACTTTATTATTTTTTGAACCAGTCGTAACACTAATGTAATCATGACCATGAAAACCAGTTAGGTCTAGTTTAATGTTGATAAATATAGAACAGAATAAAACAAAAGATAAAAAACCACATTTATTAGTAGTTAACCATTTTCTCACAAACAGAAACATTCTGATATGAGCAATTTCTCACAACTAATTAAATATATACTACATAGCTAGATACTTATAGTTGATAACACAGCAATAATAACCATTCGAAATGAAACAAAAGAACCAATGAATTCTTTATTCGGCCTTCAAGAGTTCAATTGAAGAACTACGATGGTAGAATAAGGCCTTGAGAAGAGGTTATTGAAAATTAATTCCATATCAAAGTCGTAAAAAATCACAGTCCATAGACATGCATCGTCTTTGAAGAAAAAACGTAGAACCGTTTTTCCACTCACTTTTCAGTTTTATCACTCGACTGGCTGCTTCTTCTTGTTCGTTTCCGTGTTCTGGAGCTTGGTCAGGATTTTTCTAGAATGCCCGGAGGGATCGAAGTGATTGGTATGCTCTCCGGCTTCTCTCTTTGTTCGTTGTTTACCGCTGTTTCCGCAGAAAATGTGTTTGTCGTAGGCGAAATTGTAGTGCTCGTATTCGTCGAAATGACTTTCAGACATCTTCACTAGATTTATTAACAATCACTTCAAAATTTGGCTTCAAACTGAAGAATATTGACTTTTACACCGCTCGCTTCTGCGTAACCACAACAACTCAACGCAAACGTAATGTCGATTCGAAACTGTAGCGTTATCGCGTTGGGACGCGACGTGTCTGAAATGAAATGGAGGACGAATGTGTATATTATTTCTGTGTTTGTTGACACGGTCGGATGAATGAATCACCGTTCTCGTATATTCTTTTGCTGGATAAAATTTCTCAATGTTTTTAATGTCGGGATCACAAAATTCTGAAGAAAAAAATTTTTATTCACGACTATATAAACCACGCTGGCAATAATGATTCATCTACAATTACTATAGAGAAAATGTTTTTGATAGAAGTAATATTTAGGTTGAGAGTGTAAACGCACTTTCAAAATAAGTAGAGCGATTTTGTTCAATTTTTGATGACAATTTCTGTAAAAACTACCTTAATTTTCAAGAATTTCAAATGCTGCATGAAAGATGAGATGAATGTAGAATTTCAAAAATCAATTTTGAATATAGGCCAGTATTGTTCACGAAGAAATATAATTCAACCATGATTTTAACTCAGAAAGGTGACTTTTAAAAGTAGGGGAGAGTTGTATAATTCCGCGCGGCCGATAATTCCGCGCATCGGCATATTTCAAAAACTATCCACCAGTTGAATATAGGCCAGTAATGTTCAAGAAGAAATATAATTCAACCATGGTTTTAACTCAGAAAGGTGACTCTTAAAAGTAGGGGAGAGTTGTATAATTACGCGCGGCCGATAATTCCCCGTATCAGCATATTTCAAAAACTATCCAATAGTTAAATATAGGCTAGTAATGTTCAAGAATAAATATAACTCAACCATGATTTCAACTCAGAAAGGTGACTCTTAAAAGTAGGGGAGAGTTGGATAATACCGCGCGGTCTAATTTCCGCGCGGCCAATGATTCCGCGCATCGGCATATTTCAAAAACTATCCACTAGTTGTGCGATACAGTCCGCAAATATCGAAGTCCGATATGCCCACACCTTCCCCCGCGCCATGCCAGTTTGACCAGCGCGACAACGGAGAGACCTTACCTTATAATTTTGTGTGTACTATCGAAAAGAGGTAAGTTTTAATGCCAATATACTCTCGAAGTAATGCCAGAATAATTTTTAACAAATAATTTACTTTTCTATATGTTTGTTTGTGTGTCTGTCCGTGGCATTGTAGCTCCTTGACAAATTGACCTATTTTGAGATGAATGTATTTTAGTTTTAGATGGATGCATTTGTGCCAAAAAAAGACGTGAACTCCAGAAAATATGAAAGCTGCACTAGGGGCTATACGAAACGGAATTAAAATAAAAACAGTTGCTGAATACTTGAATATGCCTAAATCAACAATTGGAGATCGACTTACTTTGGAAAAACACGGGAAAATTCAGCAACAGTTGCATAAATTGGCTTACGACTTTTGAATTGCAAAAAGTATCAAACGCAATTTTTCGTACGAGAAAATAATGACTGGAAAATGTTGGGTAATTTTTTTAAGAAATACCGGAACTTATAAGGCTTCCCAATCCAACAAGCTCAAGGAGTTTTACTATTTAATAAATTAGAAACAGTGTGGAAGGGTATATCTTCAGGAGAGATTTATTTTTGTATCAACATGGGGAAGTAGAAAGCCAAAACCTTTATTTCCTAGAAATTGCCATTTTTTTGCTAACCTAGAGACACTCATGACAAAGCATAATTTTTCCGCAAATTAATACAACTTTAAGTCTGATGTAAAATTGATTTTATATATTTTTGAGACTGACTAGTCTACTTATATTTAATTCAAAGAGTTACTAAGAATTCCAGTGACGGCTCGTGCATTGGAGAACAAGGAAGGTGGATTTTTTTCCAGTCTGTACCTGAAAGAAACTTCTGTGCATAATCAAATCATTTCTGTAATAGTTCACCTACTTTCTTTCTTCGTAAGTTTGGCGCTTTCTGTATAATGATGCAGAATTATGAAGCCCTGTATTATTTTTCCACTTCGTTCTATTGCACGAATTCTGAAACAGCAGCTCGACATCAATGAAGTTCCTGGTACTTATGAATCATTTGGAATCCTACTCGAAAAATGAGTCATTGAAGTTGCAACAGTACTCCTTGTTGTTGAAAGACTGCTCGAATTTAACCTGTACCCAAAAGAGTAAGAAAAATTTTCCAGCCAACTATAGAACAGTTGCTCTACTATCAGTTGCAGACTTAACATTCCAGAGTATTTCGGGATGTCCTGGAATGTTGTGGGGTGTTGTCGAGTGTCTTGTACCAGTCCAGAAATTTCTAGAGGGCACAACTTCCAAACCTAATGTCTTCAAATGCATGCATTTCAGGTAAAAAACGGGAACCTTCTTCATGGTCAAGTTGATCGTACCAGGACTCCTTTCCCCATTTTAGCGGCACGCATATTGTAGTTATTTTTATACATATTAAAGATTATGTTAGGTTCACCCCCACAGTCATTTTTTATGGCCTTTCATGAATTCTAGGCTTACATTAGGTGTTGTATTTTTCATTGAAATACGACTCGATGTATAGAATTTCTTTCAACATGACGACTGGTTTGTGAATTTTCATTAGCCAGAATGTTTCAAAGTATAATTCAGAGTTTAGACCCCATGTTTTCAATTTTCACTAGCTATTTCTGTGATTCACAAACCGACTTCTTGATAGTTTCGGGGAGTCACTCACGATATGTTATGGAAAGTAATCACAAACAATCTAGGGGGAATCACTTGTATCTAAAAGGGAATTACTAGTACTTAAATACCTTCATTTAAGAGTTAGTTGACGAAAGGAGTTAACAACTAACAGGAGTTAACAGTTAACAATGAATTGTTTTCAGATATGTGATGCAATCGGCCGATACTTGATGAAAATCCATTACTTATCCAAGAAACACTTTACTGTGAGATTTTTATTAAACAGTTTTACAAAAACGCAACACGTGTTTCGCTATACAATAGTTTATTTCGGATACGTGGAGTATAGATACGCCTGAAGAAGTTACAACCATGTCCGTGCATCATACATTTTTCTTTTCACCCGTTCTACCAAGTGACATTTGTGAAATTATTCTGTCACTCAAAAATACAAACTCGGTAGGTATTGACTGCATATCAACAAAACTTGTGAAAAATATGAGAATTTCTGTGAGTCAACCTCTTTCTTTTATAATAAACCGATCAATTGAAATTGGAGAATTTCCTGATAAGATGAAAATTGGTTTAGTTACTCCTCTACACAAAAATAATGAAATTTATATAATTGAAAACTACAGACCAATAACAGTACAAACAGCACTGTGTAAAGTTTTTGAGAAATGTGTTCANCTTTATAGAGCTCATTATTATTATTATTATTATTATGGTATAGCGAAACACGTGTTGCGTTTTTGTAGTGACAATCTCAATGAGGACTGTTTTGGGAGAGGGCGATCGACAAGAAATTGATTTTTTACGTAGAAATATACTTCCCTGAAAACTGAAGTTGAAGTGTTTTTTACAGTCTCAAAATCGAACGACTTATTCAGGGTGGCTCGATTTAACTGAAATACATTGAAAGACAAGTGAAGCAGTTGGTCCCGGTGCCACTTATTTTCTTCGAAAGATAATGCTATGAGATTTTTGTCACTAGAGGAGGAATTGACGTTTTCGTTTCATGGTTGAAAAATATGGTATAAGCTAGTTTATGGTATAGCTAGTTTAAGCTAGAGAAGAGATATATTATTGAAAACGAAGATAATTTTTTTGTTTTATCGTAACAATCTGCGAAATGCCACCACATTCGTATATGAAACAGTTGAAAACTGGTTTAAGATGTGAAATAAAAAGAAATTCATGCATCAAATATTCTTCTACTTTGTTTCATTTTAAATTATCATTAAATTAGTTTCGAAGCAACAAAGAAAATGATTCAAAATATTTCATGGTTGAAAAATATGGTATAAGCTAGTGAAGACTTAAATATATTATGAAAAACGAAGATACTTTTTTGTTTTATCGGCACAATCTGCGAATATATGAAACAATTGAAAACTGGTTTGAGATGTAAAATAAAAAGAAATTCATCTGTTTCATAGATCAAATATTCTTCTACGTTGTTTCATTTAATTTCAAGTATACCTCCGATTGATAACTTATTTTTAGATTTATCATATCACGAATCATATCTATCACTTGTTTACAGTGTTTTTCCTTACTGAAGACAAACAACACTTGTGTATGGATCATCAAAATACATTGTAGTTATTTATTTTATTACGACTGATTTAGAAAATGCTGACAATTCATATAAATGTGTTAATTCAGGCCAAGTAAATTATAATAAAGTGTATGCACTTTGTTGGAAATCATAATTAGGTATTTATAAATAGGATTTATCAATGGGGTCAGATTCATTGATGAAATATTCGATTAGAAGTCCAATGGAGAATATTACTGACTTATTTTGCATATTTTTGGTCAATATTAAATTTTACAAAAAGGATTTGAAGCTTTATATCTTCTATTATCTGCGAGCGCTTTCGACAGTTGGTAGTACTGTCATCTTCTATAGGCACTCCTCAAACTGTGGAGTTTGAGGAGTGCCTAGAAGAACCTAGGAGAACTGGTTAAACTTGAATTTGACAGAGTATTGGAATAATATAACGAAATTGTTCATATTTTTTTTTGACATATTCAGATTCATACAGTTTGAAGCAACATGGTTAGAAATGTCACGTTCTTCAAACCGATCCGCTTTTGTTTTGTCAAAATTTCTCGATGCGAGGAATTAGATTAACCCAACTTTGTATACATGTTAATAGATGGAACAAGAATAGTTTCCAAATGTAAACATTGGTGTGCGCTTGGCGCCTCTGTGAATGGTGCCTTCTTTGCATGATATATTCCCATAAAGGGCAAAAAAATCTTCCAAATAACTATAGACCAGTCGCTTTGCTATCAGTGATATCAACAATCATGGATAAAGCCATTAACCACCATATCCTTGAATATTTGGAAGACTTTAACTTTTTGAGCGATCATCAATGTGGGTTTCTGAAACAAAGATCACCAGGCGACCTTCTATCGTATTTCACCCATATTTGGAATAACGCAATCAAGAAACATGGAGAGTCAAGAGCTGTTGCGCTTGGTATTTCTAAGGCGTTTGACCGCGTGTGGCATGAGGGTTTGCTGGCCAAATTTCGATGCTAAGGCTTGTCGGATCACGGCCACAAGTGGCCGTCAATGGATATCTCTCGAATACTTTTACCATCAACGCAGATATTTCTCAGAGATCCATTTTGTCTACAATTTTTTTTTTCATTGTATATCAACGACTTATTGGTAAAAAACAAAAATTCAATATATTGCTTTGCTGAAGATAGCACACTTGTCTCGTCATTTCAGTTGGATTCCAGGACATCGGCTGTGGATGCACATCTTCACCGACAGCAGGAGGATGCATATTTTGATGAGTACCTAAAGGTGATTTGGAATTGGGGTGGAAGTAATCAGGTTAAATTAAATGTCTCCGAACCGGATATAATAATGTCAGGGCAGACAATCCCGCTTTCTGATTCGATAGCAGGTATCAGCTTGGAATACTGTTCCGAATCAGAAAACTGTACACACGTCAGCAACTTTTGATGCTTTATAGAGCTCAGATCTGACCTTCTTTGAAGTATTATTTTCAGGTATAGAGCTCCGTCCCTAAGCATACCCTGAAGTTGCTGGATTCCATCTGCCTGATTGGAGACACAAACTTCACTTGCAATCTTGATAGTCTGGAACATCGAAGAAAGGTTGTAAATTTGTCTCTCTTTTATAGATACTTCCACGAGAGGTATTCAAGTGACTTGGCACATTTTATTCCACCAAGAGCAATACATAAGAGAAATACGCGACGAACTTCATTGTTCAATAACTCTTTCATTTAGAGAAAACTGTGTTTATGTTAGATAAACTTTCTGAGAACGTTTTTCTTCTATCCGAAATTTTCCACATTTGTTGTAAGAAGATGGAGGAGTAGAAAGCTGAAAACCTTTTCCCAATATCAACTTTGTATATATGCGTGAAGATCACATGTACACCGTGTATTTTAAATTTAGGTTTCAACTCACTTGCCAATTTTAGCACAGAGTGGTCCATCTGCGCACACTGCTGCTTTCTGGAAAAAATGCATGATCGATCCAGATGGAGGTAAGGGCCTGGTTGGATTTGGAGGAACCAGTTGATTTTCATCCTCTTTGTCCTTATATTCCTCAACAGTGCCAGCATAATACATCAGAGCGATGATTGAAACCAGAACAATGATAATGGCTCCTTTGGGAATTCTGGTAGACTGATACCTGAAAATGAGATAATGAAAGTTTTCGGTGACAAACATTATTAATTATTCAATAACAAAATCATTTGAAGATTTTATAAAAAAAAAAGTAAAAAATTGAACTATCCTATTTGGCAAGTAGGTGGGTGTTATTCGATTCGCAATCTGTGAAAATCTGCTTTTCCTTGTGATGCACTGTTTGGAAACTGTGGTGTAATAATGAATATGACTGGAGTTTTATCCCAACACCAAACCGTTATTTTTAACACCTCGACACGTGTTTTAATCACCAAGTGATCATCGTCAAAAGGAAGAATACACTCATTATTCTTCCTCTTTGATGTTGGGATAGAACTCAAGTAATTTCAATCTGTTTTTCCGGTAACAATAGTTTCGAAGTCAACATCTAACCGGAGTAAGATCTATTTCACTCTATTAAATATCGTTGAAATAACAACAATGATCTGACATATATTTTTCCTTGGAAAATGAGCATTTTTTCCAATCACCATAAATGTGTTTCTATCTCCTGAAGACTCCAAAGAACAGTGTTTGTTTTGTATTTATTCTACGCCAGATGTTCCAGTTTTACTTTTCATATTTTTCCTTGTATTTCGATATTGTATTATGTATTAAAAGTTGTTCAAAGTAGTTTCACAAGTATTCAGCATTGCTGCGTTAACTGATAACAGGTTGAGGGATCAAATTTGAAAGATATCTTCACTAGCTGTGTACAGAGTAGAAAGATGCAAAAGAAACAAAAACTACTATACTTGGGAATATGCAATGAAAATACTGTTGATCAAGAAAAAGTTATAGAATTATGAATTCACTGCCTCGTTAATTGATTAAAATTAATGAAAGTATTCATAATGATAATTATACAATTTTCACAATAAATTTTATTGAGGACGCGTTACTTCATCAGTTGGACTGTATATCAAACTATTCCATGTTTTTGATATAACAGTAGGTAATCACAAATGATTAATTCTAGTTAAAGAGGTATATTCTGAAAAATCAATTACAATTCAGTATTACTTTTAGGAAAACAAGTAATTCATACAAACACACACAAACACAGGAAACCAACACACACAGACAGGTACCTGAACAAAAACTCCAACACCAGCCACAACAAAAGTGAGAGGTAATTGAAACATTGGTTTAGAGAGCACGACGTAATTGTGAACCTGAGGGGAACTAAGTCACCTGACAGATGCCATCAAAGGGAATGGATACAGCGAAGAAGAATTTGAGCGGGCCATACGACCCATGAGAGAGAAAGCCAAAATAACCACAGCTAAGCTGGGCAAGGGAGAAGCTATCCTTCCCTAAGTTGAAAAGGTTACAACCGGATTGGGATAATCTTCGAGATACACCCCGCGAAACCAATATTTGGGTTAAGAAAAACTATCAGACAAAGTCTAAGATCAGCAGCTAAGGACCCCAGATAACCTTTAGCAACACCCGGGGTATACCGGATTCCTTGTAGCTGTGGGTCGGTCTACATTGAAACCACGAATAAAAATCTTAGTACCCGTCTGTCTGAACACAAGATCATCACAAGATTTCACCATCCAAATTAGCGTCTTCAGAAGATGAAAAAATTCTCTTTCTTCAATTCAGTAAGCAAACTAGCTGAAAAAGAAAATAAGTTACTCTTCACTGACCGAAAATTTATGATGACAAATCTACAATAGAAATTATTATTACTGGCTCAAGAAATCATAATGATCCGTACACATTGAACCTCCAAACACAGTTTGGTTCACAAAAAGTGGATAATGGGTCTGGCATCACTGTCTAGATCATATTAGTGATGGAGACCTGAAGAAGTCAAAACTGGTTATACCAGGCGGCCTGATATTTTTGAAAGACAACCAAAATCTATTTTCACAAAAAAAGAGGAAAGAGGGCAGTTGAAATATTAGAGTTCATCATCTACACTGACTTTTGTGGCCAGATTGAAAAAGAATAAATTGGTGGGGCTCGATATTTCTTCGATTCCATTGATAATTGCGCGAGAAAATCCTTTGTTTATTTCCTACATAGTACTTCTATATCAGAAAAGGAATTCAAAGCTTTAGTGAAAAACCATACTTTCAATAGAATCAAAATGTTCAGGAGTGATAATGGAGAAGGGTATACTAATAGAGCCAGCATGGATCAATATCTCAAAACAAGCGTTTTTCCATTCAGTTTATCCTTCAAACGTTCGATTTGGGATGGAAACAGATAGCACTCACAGGAACTTAACACGAAGTGAAATTTCATTCACATGCAATTCGAGCATCCTCAAGTTGTATTTTGTGTGCAAACAGATATCATACCTAATTAATAATATTTTTATATCCGGTATTTGCCCAAGACAATTCAAAAGAGCTCTTATCAAACCGATACATAAATCAGGACCAAAAAAAGCAACCAAAAACTATAGACCTATATCAATAATCTCTACTATTGCAAAAATATTCGAAAAAACCTTAAAAAATAGACCCATAATGTATATTGAAAAGTATAACCTCATCAGCAGCCGACAATTCGGTTTTCAAAAAAATAAATCTACACAGGATGCAATTGTGTATGTAACATCAAGAATCCATCAGTCACTAGACAACGGAAAAAAAACGATAGGTGTATTTCTAGATCTCGCCAAAGCGTTTGACACTGTAAATCACAAACAGCTCTTGGATGTATTAGAGGATTTGGGTTTTCGAGGAGTGATTAAAACGTATTCATAGATCTATAAATGAAAGAACTGATTTAAACAACCTCAGTCAAATATATACTTACATCCTCAAATGTAAAAAAAGAAAAAAATCACTTCTAATTAAAATTTCCCTCCCTAAAATTATTGTCAGTCATTCACTTCCATCAAAAAAATAAGTGTTTCATATTTTGTAGATATACTAATTTGTGACTGCAACCCCAAAATACTGTTATAATACATAATATACATACATAATGTACATAAAAATGGATGTTTGTTGGTTGGTTGGTTGGTTGGTAAGTGATAAACTTCTACATTGCTCAACTGATCGTGATGAAACTTGACATGTATAAGTAATTTTTCATAGAGAAGGTTTTTAGGCTATCAATTTTTCTGTAACTCGCCACTAGATGACGCTGTAGAACAATTTTTTGAAAGCACTGTTCTATAACGCTGCGCACGCCTAAGTTCGTTGATTCTGATTCTGTCAAAACATTGGAACAGCAGCGATACAGCAAAATGCAGAATGCTCGTTCACTCTTGTTCGCTCGTGCTCGTTTTTTTGGTGAATACGCACCTTTTTAGACATACACATTCTCGAACCATCAGTCCACCCTTTCGTAACTGTGTCGTGAGTGTTATACCAAGGTTCGTCGAACTAAAAAATTTGCCGTTGTTCTTGTCTATATTTAGTTATTTGTTCTGAGTATTTGTTACGCAATTCCACTATTTTTCTGCTTTCCATAACTGCTTGACGTTTGTTCATCATTTTAAATCTAAATCCTAGTTTCTTTATACAATTCTGAAGAGTTTTGTCACATCAGCTCACGTTATGGTCGGAAGTATTCAATTTCTTCCTTATGATTTCAGTTGTAGGAATCACAGTCGAATATTATTTTTTTCCAAAATTTTATTAGATGAACATCTAAAGGTTTAGGTAATCCTGTATCACATCGCGTCTTGCGTTCATAAGGTTTGTTTTTGACTATTTAACGTACAGTTGAGAAAGGAATTTTGGTCAAATATGATGTTGCTTGTAATAGTTTGTTGCCGTTGAAACCAAACTTGAGATATAGATTCTTATACTATCACATACTATCTGTGTTTCAATATTCAAATGCATGCAAATCTTATTCACTGGTATCTCTTTTTCGCATTGTTCACCATCGCTATTGGAATCACTACATTGGGAAACGCTGCGTTGTTATCACACTCGTTATTACTATTAGTAATTGTCCAAGGACGCCACATTTTAAACAGATAACAAAAATTTTAAGTAATTATAACTGCATCAATATCGAATTTCAACACTCAAATCGCGATCAGTTCCTGAACTGAACACGACAGCGATAACATTCCCCGATTTCTATTCGTCACCGTAACATGACTTCAAATTTAATTTTATGACTCTTCAGCCAATGATAATACTCGGTAATAAAAACTATCCAATAAGAACCGCCAAGTCTACAGTCCACGTGGACTAGTTTGGCTTTCTATGTGTTGGTTTTTTGGCGTTTGAGAGTGCTGCGAACTTTAAATATGCACATATCGTTTACTTCGACTATAACTTGTCGTATTCATAAATCCTGCATACAAGTTAAAAAAAATTGAATATTCATACTTAGGTTTCTTTAGTGGTTTCGGAAAACAATGTTTTTCCGTTTTGCGAAACGTCGACCACCAAAGAAACCTGAGTATGAATCTTTAATTTTTTTCAATTGATTTTTTCAATTTGTTGTGAATAATGACTAATTGGACTCTTCAGTGGTTTATACTACGCAGTAGGGAAACTTTTCAGTTTGCCCTTTATTATACGGACCCTCTATTGAGTTAGCTTTGTTTGTTTTTCAGATTTTGAAAGATTATATACTCAAAAAACAGTAAAAAGACATAATAAGCTGGAAAGAGTCAAAAAATTAAAATTTGGGAAAACATGAACAGCATCAAAAGCTACAAAAACACATGACATTGAAACGTACAAAACTTCTGAACAACCTAAAACTATGATTTGTTTATGAGTTGACATATGCGTCTTGAATGGTTTTGTTCAGTTGTGTTCAATTTTCTAATCGAAAATATAAATAGAATCCTAGAATTGTAAATCAAATTATATTTGCGAATATCAAAATTCCAAGGTAACCTGACCTATTTCTTTCAGTTCACAAAATATTCTCGTCACATACTTATCGACGAAATCTAAAGTGAGCATTCAATCTCGCAGACTAAACTTTTTTTGTTAATTTTGCTACCATAATTAAAATACCTTCAAGATTTTCACATCATTGAACCGTGTTTTTATTCTAAGTACA